GGAACAAAGCAACAGCTACAGCTAAAAATGCTGCAAACACAAAGAGAATGAGAATATGCAAAGGAAAAGCATAATCTGACAATTCAGACAAAATAGACCAAAATAAATTTGACAACTTAGACAAAATAGACCAACTCCTAAAAAAACAAACTATAACTTACATAACATGAAATAGATAATTTAAACCACATTACAAGAATCTGTAATTTAAAAAAATCCAAACCTAGATGGTATCATTGAAAAATTCTATCAAATGTTTAATTAGAAGAACTGACAATAATTCTATATAATCTGTTTCAGAAAACAGAAGAGAGGAACATTTCATAATGCAGTCATTCTATGAACTGGTATTAAATGAAAAAACATATTATATGTAATAAAAATACTAAAGTACAAAAAAAAAAACACAGAGAATTATAGACCATGCCCCTGATGAATATAAACATAAAGTATCCTTAATAGAAATATTAGCAAACAGAATTCAGATGTATAAAAAGAGTTAGCTGCCAAGACCAAGTGGCATTTATTCCAGGGATATAAGGTTTGGTCAATGTTCGAGGGTCAACCAATGGAATACAATGTATTAACAAGCTAAAAGAGAAAAACCACCTCACCTTAAGCAGAAAGAAATTTGACACCCATTCAGCATTAAAAAAACTTTCAGAAAAGTAGAAGTAAAAGTCCACCCAAATCAACAAAACCTATGAATGTATTCATTAACATGGCAAAAGATACTTTGCAAATATGATTAAACCAAAGATCTTGAGACAGGAGAGATTATCCTGAGTTATCTGAAAGGTTTCAGGAGAGAGAGGTAGGAGGGTCATTATGTATCAAAGGATACATAATGGAAGAAAGATTGTATTGATATGTTTTAAAGATGGAAGAAATAGTTAATAGCCAAGAAATATGCCCGGTCTCTAGCTGACTAACAACCAACAAAAAATATTGATTGATAAGCCCTAAAACCAGCATGTTATTGTATTAATTTCCTGGGGTTGCCATATAACAAAACACCACAAACTGGTGGTTTAAACAAACATGTCTGTTTCGTTTGCAGGTTAGAAGTCTATTGTTAATAGACTTCAGGTTAGAAGTCTATTGTTAAGGTGTCAGCAAAATTGGCCTTCTGAGGACTGTGAGGCAGAATCTGTTTCTTACCTATGTTTCTGGTAGCCTTGAGTCACAGGTGGCATTCTCCTTGAGTCTTCACATTATTGTACCTCTGGATAAGCTGCTCTTTTCACATGGCACATGTCTTCATAAGGACACCAATCAGACTAGACTAGGGACCCAGCAAACTCCAATGTGACCTTATATTAGCCAATTACATCTATAATGACCCCCTTCCCAAATGATGCCACTTTCTGGGTATTAAGACTTCAATGTGCTTGGAGGAAGGGCACACAATACAATCCATCAATAATTATAAGAAAAAGGGATCTTTTCCCATGAAATGGAGGATTTTTGATATGGGAAGATTAAAAAAAAAAAAAAAAAAAAGGGATCTTTTCCCATGAAATGGAGGATTTTTGATATGGGAAGATTATCCTGGATTTAAAAATCAAGAAGGTAGACTCTAAAGCATCCTGATGAGAGCAGAGGAAGTTCAGATACACACAAAACAGGACACTGTGACCTTCCAGTAGCCATGAAGACAAGAAGCTGGAGTGGAGTAATATGAACAAAAATCAAAGATGCTAAGTAGTCATAGGGAAAGGATTCCACCATCATAAGTTTTAAAGCACTGAGAGTTCTAACCAGTGCTGCAAGGCAAGAAATGGAAATGAAAGACATTCTTATCAGAAAGAAGGAAAGCTGTCCTGTTTGCAGCTTACATGACTAAGTGGGAAAGCCCAAGGATCTACAAAAAAACAAAAAACAAAAAAACCCAGAATTAAGTGAATTTTAAAAAGTCAGAGAATATAAGCATAATTATGTATACTAGAAATAAACATATGTTTATTTACAGGTAAAAGTAAACACAAAAAACTATAACCACTCAAGAAGAATGAAATCCTTAGGTGTTAGTCTAACAACACATATTTAGGACTTGTATGATGAAAACTACACAATGTTGATAAAAGAACTCAAGGAAGATCTAAAATAACTAGCAAAATAAACCATACTCATGGGTTGGAATACCAACATAATAAAATGTTCTTGCTTCCCACACCAATAATCTTAACTAGTACCTATCGAAATCTCTGCAAGGTTTTGTAGATCTATAAGTAGGCAATATTAATCTATGGAAAGGAAAAAGAAATAGAATATCTCAACTTTGAAAGAATAAAATAGGAGGAATCAGTCTTATTTCAAGACCTATAGATAGCTACAGTGATCAATACTGTATGGTGGAGAAAAAGGGGAAAACACACAGATCAAAGCAACAGACTTGAGAGCTAAAACGAGACCATAGAAACATGGCCAATTTATTAAGTACAAATAATCTCAATGGAGGAAAGAGCATTTTCAACAGACAATGCTGGGGCAAACAAACATCCAGAGGCATTTAAAAAGCACAACCTAAGTCTTGCACCTTATACAAAAAGTAACTTGAAATGGAATACAACCTAAATATGAAATTGTAAACTTTAGCAGAAATCATAGGAGAAGATCTCTGAGATCTAGGAATAGACAGTTCTTAGACTCGACACTTAAAGCACAATCATAAAGAGAAACACTGATGAACTGGATTTCATCAAAATTAAAGCTTCTGTGCATCAAAGGACACTATCAAAACAGTGAGGGGGAAAAAGTGAAGGGTATTCACAGAATGAAAAAAAAAAAACACTTGCAAATCAAGTATCTGACAAGGTTTTAATATCCAGAATATACAAAAAACTTTTATAACTCAACAACAATCTCCTTCAAAATTGGGCAAAAGACTAAAACTGCCCTTTCTCCAAAGAAGAAATGCCCAATCAAATGCCCAATAAGGCCATGAAAAGATGTTCAGCATCATTACTTACTACAGTCAGAAAATCCATGAAACAGAAAGCAGATCATCAGTTGCCAGGGGCTACAGGGAAGGGAGAGTGGGAAATGACTTAGTGGGTATGGGATTTCCTTTTGCGGTGACAAGAGTATTCTAGAACTTATAATGATCACAGCTGCACACCAGCGTAAATGTCCTAAATGTCAATGATTGTGAATTTTATGTGTCTCCTACCACAATTTAAATATATTTCCAGGCCTCCCTGGTGGTGCAAAGGGTTAAGTCTCAACACTATGAAGCTCTCCCCAGCCACTGCAGCACGAGTTCAATCCCCAGCCAGGGAGCTGACCCACAGGGCACGGCAGACCTCTCCTGTCTCACCTGCTGCTCCCCTCAGCAGTGTACTTCAGTCACTCGGCCTATTCTGCTCCCCACTCTGTCTCTGGTGAGTCCCTTTTACACCCTGCATCTCTAGCTTGCACCTCAGCTCCTGCATGCATACATAAATAAAATAAATCTTTAAAAATAAAAATAACTGTGGGCAGGATTGAATGCAACTCTTTCCTTTTCAGATCAGGATCCGTGGTTGCCTCCACGTGGAAGCACAAGAAAAATCAACTCAAATCTTTTAAAAAGTAGATCATTCCAGATTTTAACTATAAAGTACAGAGCAAGATTCTATTTACAGACCAATGTCTGCATCCACCAACCAGGGGGGTTGGGATCCTCCTCTCCACAGGAACCCTTCAGCACACGTCTGCTTCTAAAATAACGAGACCTCCAAAGTGTGGGTTTTTTAAAATTCAAATCACATTTGCCAGGGAATCCATCCGAACAAGTCTGCTTATTAAACAGAACTTTTTGGGGGGGCTTCCCCATCCTGGGGTTGTCTAGCTACAAAGACCCAGGCCTGCCGGCTTTCCTGAAAATAACACTATAGACCTGGCCTTGCCACCACCCTGGCCCTGCCCCAAGGACAGGAAGGCAAGGACAGGACACCATGCCTAACTTTCCTGTCTGTTGTTTCTCCTAGACTGAGTGTGTTACGCTCAGCCTCCATCTCCTGCCTTGAGAGCACGAGTGAGTTTCCATTTTCTCTCATCTCTTACCAAAAAGGGCCAAATCTGAGCAGAGCAATGTTCCTCACATTAAGTTGGGGCTGGCTTGGTGCAGCCCAACCAAGAGTGATGGGCTGCATCTCTCCTACCCCACAGCCAAGCCCAGGTTCTTTCCAGAACATCCTTTGTGAGGCCGACACAAGCTCACAGCCACAGCGCTAATTAAGCCTCAGACAGAAAGGGAGGTGAGAGGCTGTTCCACCTCCGAATGCCTACACCTGTCAGGAAGAAAGGGTTTGCCAAGCGTAGAGATGAGAAAACAGGAGGCTCCCTCAGCTACACAACAGGACCAAGGAGAAGTCGGACAGTCAGTCCTGACCTGCCCAAGTCTGATAGCTCTGATAGCTAGAGAAAGAAACCTCACGAACTCTGCAACCTGTTCTCAACAGAATTCTAGTCGTCAGGCAACGTCAGTTTTCATCCAGTCCTAGTTTGCACAATGCTTTTGACCCTGCAAACAGAAGAGGAAGTTGAGATTTTTATTCAATTTTTGTTTGTGTCCTTTGAAACCTTCTTATTTGGTTGGAAATAAGGTTGTTAATGGGAATGAGGTTTCTTTCAACCATACTTAATCCTGAGCTGAACTGGACAACACATAAATCTAACTTCCAGAAAAGCCCTTATTTACATTCATGTTGTGGGTAACTCCAGAGTTCTCCAAGACCCAGAAAAATGATTTCCCCTTAGAGCGCCTGGTATCTTGGCTTCTCCATTCTGTATACAGAAGGGAGCAGCTAAGGTGAAGGAAAAACTGGGGGCTGTTGGCATCTGAGCTACTTGAGGCCAGGAGTACAGGCGCTGGCCTCAGCTGTAGTACAGAGGAGTGGACATTTGCTTGCATTTTCAAAGTTTATTAATGAATGAGTTTGGGCCACTTGGTATTTAGATGCTTGATAACTACAGCTATGGTCAGCTGGCTGCAGGAGGGGACCACGGCTGGCACCTCTGCTGGTCGCTGGTGATGTCATCCCAGGAAGATGATGGGTTGTTCTCCTGGGTCCAAGATGCCAGGGCCCAGAGCTGGTGTTATCATAGACACTCCACTTTTGTTTCTAGGGCCTGGGCTGGGCCGATGAGTTTTTTTATGATCTCAGTGTAGTACGGGCCAAACACCTGCTGATTGTGATGCGTGAGGTTGACAAACTTTTGACCCAGTTCTGCCAGTTCAGCCTCAATGACAGTAAGGCCCCCGGGGAGGTCCAGTAGAGATCGTTGCACGCCAAGCACCAAACAGCATTTGAGAAACAAATGGATCCGCTGATCTGTGAACAGGAAAAGGCAATGAGAAGGCGTCCGGGGAGAAGGCCCGCCCTTGTGTCCCAGTCACCTCAGTTCTCAGAGACACTGAGACACTACCCTGCCCCTCACCGAGAGATCAGGGGGTCTGTGTCATCTGGGAAGGGGACTGCTGGCCAGCTCCAAAGGACAAAACAAAAGTAAACAACTAGTGGCCTAGTAAGTTTCTGACCATTCAGCAGATGACTTAATAAGATGCTCAGGAGTGTGTGACCTGACAGAGGCTCTCAGACTAGTCTCTCAATGGCAGTGGGGGGCAAGGGCACGCCCTCCAAATCCCCTCCAGTCCAAGCAAGTTGGGGAGTCCCTGCTCGGGGGCAATTCTCCAGCCTAGTCAGCACCAGCTTCTTGTGGCAGAGTGGACATTCCGCGCCTTGGACCCTGACCCAGGAGGCCAGGGACAACTTCACCAGGTTGGCTGGACAGCACCACATCCGGAAGGCATGAGTTTTTTAATACAGATACTCCTCAGGATCATAGAATCAGTCTTTAAACTTACAAGGTTATTATTTTCAACCCAGTTTTTAAGAAAACCTAAAGCTTAGTGACTTGCCCAGCTCTCATGCCTTTCACTGCTAAATAGCTCAGCGGTGAACTCCCAGGCTGGGGCTGCCTGCCTGCGCTCTCACCCCACACGCCTGCTCACCGATGACGCTGCGGACACAGTTCTCTTTCTTGGCAATGTTCTGGAGCTGCCCGGTCAGAGCCGCCGCGTTGTCACTGCTCAGGGCAGTCAGGCCCATGTTCTTGAGGCTTCGATGGATTTCCTGAGACACCTGTTCACTCACAGTCTGCATAGCCTCCTCAGGCCTAAACCGTGAAGGAGAGTAAGCTGTCAGCCCCCAGGGCATTAGCGCAGGTGCAGTGCTCAGGACCTACTAAAGGGAGGGCCCAGCAGCTTCACCGGAAGCCTCCAGATAGCAACCATCCTCTCTCTGGCCATGACTGATTTTTAGAATAGAAACAACTATAGGACAAACTATAAAATCAATTCTGGATACACTGAGCTCTGCCCTTGGATCCACTCAGAGTATCCTTTCACTTCATAGGCTTTAGATGTATCTGCACAGATGTAGCTATTATGCATTTTTAAAAGATTTATATAATTTATTTATGCATATAAGAGCTGGGGTGAAGGCCAGAGATGCAGGGGGGAGTGGGGTGTGTGTGTGTTGAGAGGATTCACCAGAGACAGAGTGGGGAGCAGAACAGGCAGATGGACTGAAACACAATGCTGATGGGAGCAGTGGGCGGATCAGGAGAGGTCTGCTGTGCCATGTGGGTCAGCTCCCAGGCCGGGGATTGACCTCGTGCTGCAGTGGCTGCGGACAGCTTCATAGTGATGAGACTTAACCCCGGAGTCACCAGGGAGGCCTATTATGCATTTTTAAAACTTTCTTAAACAGGCCCTCCCTGGTGGCACAGCTGGTTAAAGCACTGCACTAAGAAGCTTATGCTACTTCTGCCTGAGCTTGATCCCCGCCTGCCCCTGAGGAGATCCACAGGGCGCGGCAGACCTCTCCTGACCCGCCCGCTGCTCCCCTCAGCAGTGTACTTCGTCCATCTGCCTGTTCTGCTCCCCACTCTGTCCCTGGTGAATTCTCTCCACATCTCTGGCCTGTACCCTAGTTCTGTATGAATAAATAAATCTTAAAAAAACAAAACAAAACAAAACTTTCTTAAACATTCATCACAACCATCTGTCCTACCCTCAGCATTTACACTAGCAACTCCGGCCTTCCGGGTCCTCCTTCTGTGTGCCACCCTGTGCTCAGTGGAGTGTTGAATCACTATTATTGATGGTGATACTGTGATTTCTGAGAAAACTCTGAATGACCAAAATATGTATTGGCATAAGATATATATTTTTCTGATACATTATTTGTTCCTCATCGACAGTTCTGGATCCACAGCACCCCCTAAAAGTTTGGAATTTCCTAAGTATTTAGAGTAGTAAGTGTCTTTTGCTAAATTAGTGAGGTGATTTTTGGACAGGGCTGAGAATGGCACTGATTACCAGGGAAACCAACCAGAACAGGGGCTTGGAACTGCCAGTCCTACCCTCCCTGACTTCTGGGGAGGCAAGCGCTGAAGGTTGTGTTCAATTGCCAAATGAACTCATAGTCTGGTCAGTTGTGTCTCATGAAGTCTCCACAAAAGCCCAAAAGAAGCCCAGAGAGCTTCCAGCTGGTGAACATGTGCAGAAGTGGAGGACAGCGGCACTCTGGAGAGGTCGCTCCCTTCTCCTTAGCATCTCCTCCATCCAGCGGTCTCTTGAGTTATTTGGAATATGTAAATCAGCCATCTGGTGAGTCAATGGCGTCCAGGGTTCTACAGGCCATTCTAGCAAACGAACTGAACTTGAGGCGGTGCTATCTTGGGAACCTCTGATTTCCAGACAGCTGGCCAGCGCACAGATAATACTTTAGGCTTGTGACGGGCACCTGAGGTCTGAGGGGCATGCTGGGGGCCTCTGACCTTTAGTCAGCCGGCAGACGGAACCTTGGCCCTGGGCATACAGTCAGCATCACTTGGCATGAAGGAGCCCTTAAGCCTGTGGGGCCTGACAGGCTCTCTGGGCAGAACTGAGTTGGACTCCTGCTTGCGTCTGAGAATTGGTCATCACGTGGCTATACTAAGACCAGCTGGCTGTCACTTCCTTAGCTAGGTAAGGACTCCTTTGGAGCCAATAAGGCAATAACTAATTCGGTATGACATGATCCACACTGCTCTTTCTTTTAGAAGTTGTATTTTTCTTTGCCATGGGCCTCAAGACCACTGTGGGAAGACAACCATCCTTGTGGATGGCGCCCAAGGGCCTCATGTGGTTTCTAGTAGAAAAGCAAGCAACACCCTTTGTCCTCATACCACATGACATCCTCTACTCTTAAAAAAAAATGTATGCAGCTCACCTGGAGTTAAACTCCTCTGTCAGGCCTTTGGTTATCCGTTTCAGCTTATCCAGAAACTGAGGTGAGCCAAACAGAACATTGCCAGAGAAACTACTGGCCACTAGCAAGACGGAAGCTAGGATGGTTAATTGCTGTAACTGGGATTTCAGCTCCTGCAGCCGAGTTCTGTCCATCAACAGAGTCTGGGAAAAAAGAAAGAGCAGGCTGTCAGAAGAGCAGGGTCCTCATGGAAGTATTAAGTAAGGGGAGATTGTGTGAAGGGAAGCCTGCCCCACACTCTCCTACCTCAGGGAACTCTTCATTTTCAGGATCCCAGAGCAGGAGGTTCAGGAAGCCCTGGGACAGCACCATCGTAGGGCTGAGGGGCTCTGGGCTATTAATTGTCTCACTCGGAGTAGCGCCTGTAACATTGGAGGAGTCAGGAGTGTCGGGGCAAGTCGGAGGCAGCGTAGTGAGGTCTGCTGCTGCTTGGGTCAGCCATTTGGTGGTGTGATCAAGGAGGCCTGTGACAGAACAGAGTGAATAAGCATTTTCAACATCTGTATCCCTAAGCCTCAAGACTAACTAACATTCTTTAAGATGTATTCCTGATCATCAAATAAATGCTTTCCGGAGAAGAGAGAATCTTTTTGTCTTAGGTAACTTCCTTCTTCCACCTCCTACCAAGGAAGAAAGTTTCCAATCTTAAAAGAAGGCAGAGTACTCTCTCACATCCTAAAAATTCAGGCTCAAGATCACATTGCCCCACTCCTGCCCCTCAGGTTATATACATACTAGGTTGCTTGTTGAGGCGTTCCTGGAATTTAGCCCGTTCATGCTGGATGGAATGTTCCTGCAGTTGGGGTTGAAGGCTTTGAATAGTGTAATTCACCATGTCCATTTTCATCTGGCCCAGAACTTGGAAGATCCCTCTGATGCAGGAGGAAAGGAAACCTAGTGAGATTTCCTACATAGGAACCACTAAATCACTGTATCCTAAAGTGAGGAGTGGCTTTAAACTGAATTTAGTTCTGCTACTTAATTTATAAAAAATGACATATGGCACAGGCCTGAAGGCCCCAAGTATGTGAGTGCAGAGCAGAATTAGGCAACAGGGAAGTTTCTGGATCCTAGATCTATTTATACACTGGTCATTCTGTTCTCTCCTAACAGGGGTGGTCAGAATAAAGAAAGACACTAACATGTTGACAGTTACCTCTGCAAAGTGGGATTATAGGTGATGCTATTAAAACTTTCTGGGTCTTGGTTTCCACAGCGATGAAATAGGGATAAACTCCCAATCCCATCACACTGTGTGAACTGTGAAACAAAAATCTAGGAAAAAGAGGCTTGAACGGATTGGAAGAAAGAATAATATGTTCTAATGTCTTAAGGTAGGATGTTATACAGAGGGCCCAGTTAACCTAGGGATAACCAAAGAGGCCTGGAAGGTCGTCACTGGTGAGAAAAGCTAATAAATCAAAGAGGAGAAATGAGGTGTTTGTGGGGATGTTAGCAGGAGAGAACCAGCCAAGACAGTGTCTGGCCCAGCTTTTCTTGGCCCAGAGGCTGAGGCAGGTTTCAGGAGAGAGTAAACACGTTTCATACCGCAGTAACCGAACAGAGTCTGTAATGTTCTCCAGTTTCTGTACTGCTTCATCTCGAACTGGTGCACAGAGTAAAGTCATCATGTTGAGAATATACTGAGAGAGATGAGCAACATTCAGTGTTCCATTTTCTGCTTCCTGCTTGAGGAGGTCCACACCCAGTGCTTCTTCAATGTCACTCCTCAGGCGGTTCTGGCGTGGTAGCAGCAGTGACACCAAGACCTACCCAGGAGGAAAGTGACTAAAGGAGGTGCATCTGCTTAGTGCCCCAAGCTTTCTCTAACAAACTTTGGTTACAGATGCCTTTAACCAAAGAGATCCCAGCCGTCTTTAAAATCAAGAATTCAAAATGGCCATTTTAATCTTTCTTTAGGGTCAACGATAGCTCAGTCTTACAGGGTTAATTTTAGAAATGATATAGCATTTTCAGGCCTTCCCTGGTGGCAGATTAAAGCACAGCACTACAAAGCTAGCACAGACTCGACCCCCAGGCGGGAGGTTGGGGGTGACCCACATGGCGCAGCAGACCTCTCCTGCCTCACTCTCTGCTCCCCTCAGCATTGTACTTCATCAGTCTGCCTGTTCTGCTCCCCACTCTGTCTCTGGTGAATCCTCTCACCGCCCCTGCACCTCTGGCCTGTACCCCAGTTCTGTTTACATAAATAAATCAATCTTTAAAAAAAGAAATTATATATAATTTTCTAGGAAGAAGGAATTAGGAGATGACTAAAATCAGAATATGATAAAAAAAGAAATGTAAGGTACAACAAACAAAATTTACACCATCAATGGCAATGAGCCATTAAAAAAAACAACAACAGAAAGTCAATAAGGAAACACTGACCTTAATTGGCATCATTGACCAGAGAGATTTAATAGAGATGTATAGAACATCCCATCCAAATGTAACAAAATACACATTCTTCTCAAGTATACAGGTATGTTTCCAGAAGAGATCATGTGCTACATCACAAAACAAGTTTTAACAAATTTAAGAGGGCTGAAATCAGATCCAGTACCCTTTCCACAATGGAAAAGTTACCATAATGGTATGAAATAAAAAATCGGTTACATACAAAAAAAAAGGACAAACTGGAATGTTCACAAATCTGTGGAGATTAAACAACATGCTACTAAGCAACCAATGGATCAAAGAAGATATCAAAAGAGAATAAAAAAATACCTGAGGCGAACATGAAAACATGACACATCAAAATTTATGGTGTACAGTGAAAACAGTTTTAAGAGGGATGTTTGTAGTGGTAATAAATGAAATAAGAAAAGACTCAAGCAACTTAACTTTATAACTCAAGGAGCCAGAAAAACAACAACAACAAAAAAAATGAAGTGCAAAGTAAAAAGGAGAAAAAATGTAAAGATCAGGAAAAATAAACGAAATGGAGACTAAAAAGATAGAAAAGATTAATGAAAAAAAATGCTCTTTTAAAAAGGATAAATTGATAAAACTTTAGCAGGCCCTCCCTGGTGGTGCAACAGGTTAAAGCTCAGTACCATTTAGCTCACTGCAGCCACTTCACCACGAATTCCATCCCTAGCCAGGGGGTGTGACCCACATGGTACGGCAGACCTCTCCTGACCCACCTACTGCTCCCCTCAGCAGTGTACTTCGTCAATCTGCCTGTTCTGTTCCCCACTCTGTGTCTGGTGAACCCTCTTACTGCCCCTGCACCTCTGGCCTGTACCCCAATTCTGTATGCATAAATAAATAAATCCTAAAAAAAAAAACTTTAGCTAGAAAAAATAGAGGCCTCAAAATCAGAAGTATAAAAGGAGACCTTACAACTGATACCACATATACACCAACAAATTGGATAATCTAGAAGAATTGGATAAATTCCTAGATACACAGACCCTACCAAGAATCAGAATTGGAAACTCTGAATACTCACTCCCAACAAAATAAAGTCCAGGACTAGAGAGTTTCACTGGCAAATTCTACAAAATATTTAAAGAAGAATTAATATTAGTCCTTCACAAACTTTTTCAAAAAAAGAAAGAAAAAACAGGAGGAAATTTTTCTATATTAATTTCATTAGGGACAACATTCCCCTAGATTTGACCTGACAAATAAACCATAAGAACTGCAGATTACATACCAATATCCTAATTAATGTAGATATCAAAAGCCTCAACAAAATATTAATAAGCCTAAATCAAAATATGTTAAAAGGATCACACACTATGAACAAGTGAGACTTATTCCAGAGTTACAAGAATGACTTAGCATACATGACTTATCAATGTGATGTGCCAAATTAACAAAATAAGGGACAAAAATCATACAATCACCTCAACAGATACATATAAAAAGTATTTAACAAAATTCAACATCTGTTTATAATTAAAAAACTCTCAACAAAGTGTTTATAGAGGGACTGTACCTCAACATAGGGAAGGTTATATGACAAGACTACTGCAAATGTCATATGAAAAGGAACAAGTTAGGACAGAAATACACACACTCTCATGACTTTTATATTCAACATAGTATAGTCAGAGTTAAGCAAGAAAGATAAATAAAAGGCATTTAAGTTGGAAAAGAAGTAAAATTGTCTTTGTCTCTGTCTCTGATCTCTTACTTATAGAAAATTCTAAAGACACCATCCAAAAACTTTGTACTAAGAAGTGAATTCTGTAAAGTTGTAATATACAAAATCAATATATAAAAATAATTAGCATTTATATACATTAATAATGAATTATAGAAAGAGAAGTTAGGAAAATGACCCACTCACAACTCCTTTAAACCAAGGAACTGAAAGGCTTGCATACTGAAAAGAATAAGACAGTGGAAAATATTGAAGATGACACAAATACATGGAAAGATAGTCTATGCACATGGATTTTTTGAATTAATATTGTTTAAGTGTTTGTGTTTATACTACCCAAAGCAATCTACAGATTCAGTGTAATCCTTATCAAAATCCCAATGGCATTTTTCACAGAAATGTACAAACAATCCTAAAATTTGTATGAAATCACAAGGCACTAATTAGCCAAAACAAGCTTGAGAAAGAGCAGCTAGGCACATAATATTCCCTTGTTCAAACTAGTCACAAAGCTCCAGTAATCAAAGCACCATAGTACTGGTACAAAAGCAGACACACAGGTCAATGGAACAGAACAAAAAGCCCAGAAATAAACCCACACCTGTCTGGTCAATTAATTTAGAACAAAGGAGCAAAGTATATATAGATGAGGAAAGAATAGTCTCATCAATAAATGGTGCTGGGAAAACCAGACAGTCACATGCAAAAGAATGAAACTAGACCATTCTCTTCCACCATACACAAAACTTAAGATGCGCCTTCCCTGGTGGCACAGCGGGTTAAAGCACAGCACTAAGAAGCTTAAGCCACTTCCGAAAGAGTTCGATCCCCGCCTGCCCCGGAGGAGATCCATCCACATGGCAGGG